ATACACAATTTGGTGCAAGCTCCTATTTCAGTATGTGAAACTTGCAGCAAACCTTTAGACTTTAGAATGCTTATTGGTTACCATTAGAGTTGTGCTTATCCTCTAAACTTTCAACTTCTAGGGAACTATTGTATATTAAAGAAGATAGAGTTTTTACACAGTAAAACTAAAGAGAGTTAAGAAATTAATTGTTTTTAAATGTTTTAGTCATCAATCAAATGGCTTTTATATAGGTACTAGTCAAAGTTGAACATGCATTGCACGTTATTCTAAAGTACTTTATAAGTGCTGTAAAAGTAATATTTGGTATCAATTTGTTGGAGGATTTGATGAGTCTCAGACGAATTAAAGAAACTAAAATTTAGCATAGAAATTTAAGAGAAAAATATTATACTCAAATTGTACTTTCGAAACTCAATTTCTATGATTCAAGTTTTTTTGTAATGATGAAATACTATAAATGAGCAACTTTATATATTACATTTGATACATAAAAATTAATTGTTAATATATAAATTTAAACACATATTAAAATTTTTAGATACACGAATATGAATAAATTCATCTATAATAATTCTAAACTCATGTAATTCAAGATTCATCAAGTGCAATTCATTGAATCTAAGTTAATGTGAATGTCAATTAATTGAAAATTAATAATACAAATTTCATAAATAAAAATTATTATATAGTACTTATTACATATCGAAAAACAAAAGTAAGGTATTATTGAAATAATTGAATTGTAGGTGGTTAAAATCGTTCAAAAAATTATTTTCCCTTGATATAATATTTTAATATATTATAGATTACTGCAAAATATAAAAGCAAGAAAAAAAGAAAACAAATCTTATAGACTAGGTAATTAGCATACAAAAATAACTAATGATGATAAAGATTAGGTCAAAATGTGAATTACTTATTCAACAATCCCTCACTTAAACTCATGTTCATAACATCATTTATTTCTTCTGCGTGCAAAATCCAAGCAACTTCCTCTTCTTGGTGAATCCATGATCGTGAAAAATACTTGTCAATCTGGCTATACCCTACTCTAGGCGCTTGCTTTAAGCCATATAGCACCTTCTTCAACTTCAAGATTTTATCTTCATGTTCTTTGACAACATAATCCAATGTCTCTTATTTATAGGGGACGTCCCAAACCTTAGAAATATCCTAAAAGATGGAAACTATATCAAAATATGTGTGAAACCGACTTAAGGCAAAAAATTCATGCGGCGCAGTTGCTCGAGCAAAAAAGCAAGCAATAGCCTTGTCACTCGAGCAGTAGGCTAGCGACCTACGCCATAAGTCCGACTTTTCCTTCTTGGACCCTATTTTGACATCTTCAAAACCAATACTCCAAAACGTGCAACCCTAGACCGAATTTGAGTAACAAATCCACATAAACGAGAAAGTATAATTATTTCGAACTTCTCCATTAACTAAGTTATCAACTCATATTTCTCTCTACGATTTTTCATACATACAGCAATTGGTTCTTTATAGTTGGAGAAGCCTAATGATTTTAAAGTGATAGTCACATGACATATTGAGTGATATGATTCATTTTGATAAAGCACGAAGTAATAATTTTAGGCCCATTGCATATTTTATTCATAAGCATCTTATTTGGCTCAT